TTAATGGATATGATTTTTTGATGTTATGTAATAAAATGTACCAACATTTGCAAGATTTTTAAAATGGCCCAAAGCATGATGTTACAAAATTTTGCATGGGTAAAAATCCATTTGAAGCATAAGAAGGCTATTGGATTTTGCTGTAACAGAATAAATACAAGAAGTTCATTCATATAGACTCAAGAGTCAACATTGGAATTAACCTTTAAGAAATAGCTACTTGTCAAGTTTTGATGAGGTATCGAAGACTATCTATAATTAACCAAAAAGGTTTTTCCCTTTCCCAGCTACATACCTGTCTGAGGCTATAATCTTTCACGTAATTCAACTAAAAGAACCTATCAGAGTAGGTTGAATGTAGAAGCAAACATTAAAATCCACCTGTCTTCTGTTAAGTCAGACATTTAAAAAGAGATTTGCACAAATGTAAAACAATGCCCTTAACTTTTAAAATAGAAAACAAAGCTATTTTTATTTAAAATGTTTTTTTAACATGTAGTACATTTTATTAACTTAAAATTCATTAACGTAGATTTTTAAAATCTTTTTAATTTCTAACATAATAAACATCGACAGACATAATCCAAATAAGGCAAAACTTTTTGGAGTCCTCAATTTTTAGGAATGAACCCTGAGAGCAAAAAGTTTGAGAACCACTGTCTTAGAGAAATGAAAGAGGGGAGGGAGAGAATAAAAATAGATGAGGAAACTGATCCAGAGTCTTATAGTTATGTAGATTTGAGGAAGTGAGGACTTTAGGCAGAAGTGGCACTGTGACTGAAGAGAAAAGCCTAATTCAGGACATTCTGAAAGAAGAAATGGTAAGATTTGGTGATAATTCAATGTGGGGTGAATGAACGAAAAGCTTAAAAATAACCTGTATGTTAGCTATGTTTTTGTATTCCAGACTAGAACCACTTATTGACAGAGCCAGCGCAGGTTCATGGGTGGGAGCTCCTCTATCAGTACTCTTTTGGGAGATCCAAGGAGGAGGGAATGGTGATGGCTGTGGAGAAGGAGCAGCTGGAAAGAAGCAGGCAAATGCTGGTAAATGGAAGGCAAGGAAGACAAGGAGTGTTGGGCAAGAGGCAGGTCGTGGACAGGTGGAGACAAGGGAAGGGATTTGACATCTATGGAGACTGTGTTTCATTTATCAGACTTGATTCAGAAATACTGTCTTGGAAACTGATACTAAAGGTCCTGTTGCTAGTAAATGCCCTGTAGACTCTGAGGAGGATGGGTGGAGAAAAGGCTTCTTTTGGTGGGACGATCTTTGGTAATCTCCAGGGGTCTCCGTGGTTCTAACAGTCTGGCTTTAAGAACAGGGAATGATGAGATGGGAAATGAAAGCAGCAAATTGGGCCACGTCAGAACAGTTTGATAATGAGAAAAAAGGAGAGAATTTGTTATTCTGAAGGGATAGTGACTTCAGAAATAGTTATTGAAGGCAGAAAAGTTATAGTTGTTTTTTAGGTAAGAGGAATATAAGCACATTGAATATAGATAGGAATCTGTGACACCAGAAAATGAAGCAACTGGGGTTAAAATTGGTAAGACTAATGACCAACTTTGATGTTGCATCTTTATCTCAAAGATGTTTGGTTTATAAGGTGTTTCTCACTTTTTTTGAGCCTTACAATGTGTAAGTAGATTTTGGCTACTTCCCCGATGAGGAAATGAGGGAGGTTAACACTATGAGGGATCCTGAACCTGTAGGGAAAGGTGAGATGATTATAAAGGGGGTTGAAGTGATGTTGGCAGTACCTGGGGGGCTGCTGAGTTCATGGACTACACCTGCATGTTTGCGCCCCAAACATGGTCTGACAGGTATGAGTAGTTACAAAGAGACAGGAAGCAATTCAAGAAATTCCCTTTGCCTTTCTCCACATGGTGTTCCACAGTGCTAATGTGATATATGAGGTTTTTTTAAAAACGTCATTGGGAGGAATATCACTGCCACTTGCCTAATGGATTCCTAGGGAGTGAGGCCAATTACTCTCTCAGCTCCAAATAGAGCCGTCCTAAATTCTTCCAATGTTTAAATCTGTGAGATGTAAAGTGTGGCTAAGAGGTGAGGTCTTCCTCTCATCCCTTATCCCACCGGGATTGGGTAAGGTATGCTTATTATTGATGAGTGTTTTAACATTAACTACACAAATGAGAATAAACTCTCCCTTTATATGTCCCAGTGAGTTTTGGCTTGTGGGGGTCATTTTGAAGCAAGAATCAGCTCAAAGAAATTCCATTCTGACTGTTCAGACCTCAGTATTCGGTGATCAACTATGGGAGTAGAAATGCATTTCCATTTCTCAGTCACGTGTATCGGTGTGAGTTCCCATCTCATCTCTTCCAAATTGCCACTGTCACCCTTCAGCTGGTGTCCGTCTGCCAGAAGGAAAAGTTCAGTGAGAGAAGGCTGTGCGGTAGGGAAGGAAAGATGCAGAAGGCTTCATGTGGATTAAGGAATTCGGACTGAAGGGGACTTCTGAGGGTGGGGGGGTGGTCACTGGGATGGCATTGTAGAGGAGAGAGTGATATGAAAACAGAGTTGGGAAGCTTTTGGAAGAAAAAAATTGTAGTGGCTTAATGAATGCTGAGACAGAGATGTCTGTTCACTCATTTCAAACCTTGGTAGGGTTTTGGAATTTAGGCAGAAGCAAAGTCCAGCTAAACCGTTTAAAGAACAAGTTAATCATGAATTTGGGTGTCTTTTGTCAATTCAGACATTAAGCCTGGAGTTGCCACTGCCCCCCACAACTCGTCTGAAGGGAGGGTTGGTGACTGGTTGTCTTTGGGGAGACATACCTGCTTGATAGTCAGGGCCGCCTATGTGCAGGCGCAGGTGGAGGCAGCAGCCACCTGCCAGGGCAGCGCTGCTCCTGCGGGACCTACGCAGGACACAGGGTCCGGGGTGCCGCCCCAGGCGAGCCCTAGGCTGTCTGTCTTCAGGGCCAGTTTTGTGGTGGCCATGTGCAGCTGCTCTCCCTGCTGCCACAGCAGCTGCCAACTGGGAGTAGTTTCTGGCTCTTTCCCCAGTGTTTCAGGTTGAACTAGAAGCTAGACATTCTGGGGCACAGTCACAACTGGGTAGCGCATAGAGATTGTTTCGAAAGGAAAGGCAGGCGTGGAGTAGAGAAACTGAGAGTTCTGCCCCTTCACCTGCTTCTTCCCTTTCTCACCTGCATCTTGTTCTTTCCCTCTGGTCCAGCTGCCGCCTAAGATAAAGCAGCTTTTGCCCTGCCCGAGCCTTGGGGCAAGAGAGGGTGAGACCAAGCCTGTTCTGAAGTGGTTTGGCCCTTGGGTGTGCCTGGGTTGTGCTGATTTGGTTTGGTTCCTGCCTTCCTCACCCAGTGTACCTCACAAGCATCTCACCCAGAATCAAAATGTGACTGAGATCTCTGGTGGGAAGGGGCCTCCTGTAGAGTGGCTCTCACGTGTGGCTGGCTGCCCCTGTTGGCCTGGGGCCACTGCCCCTTCATGTTACGAATTTAACTCAAACAATCCAGGGCACTCTCAACCCAGGCAGATCAAGCTTTGGTTATTTTACCCCTAGTGTTCTAGAACAACTGAAAGACATCCAAGTTGGTAAACAGCTCTCCTTCCTACCTCAAACATTCGGAAGCCTTTGAGAATAACCAGGGGTGGGGTACTTCTCCTTCCTTGAAGGTACAGCTGCCTAGTCTCCCTTCCAGTGGCAGTCCCGGGGAGCATGATTTAGCAAGGCTGATGTGTGAGTGAGGGTAATACAGAAGGTCCTCTCAGCTCTGCTTATTTTAAAGGTTTGCAATTCCTCATAAAAGTCAGTCAGTATTGAACTGTGGTGCTATTATTGCTATTTTGTTCTTCTTTCCTTATTATATTTTTCTAAGACCTGTTGTCTATTATCTGCAGATTTCCACATGTAGGGAAAGTGGGCTCATGACTGTATGGCTCTAGGTATCTGGACAATTTAACAAAAATGAACAAAACATTAAGATGAGAGACAATATTACAGATTTCATATTGTTCTTAAGTTCTAAAAAGCACAGTTGGCTTTATACATTGTTTCATTCCCTGATGGACACTAATTTTAAAATAAGAGAGGTGTTAGAATAATGTGAATATCATTTTGTCAACCATAATTAAGTATGTACCCTTAGGCTTTTGGATACAAGGTTTACCTAGAGCTCAACATTTAAATTAAATGCAACAACAAAAACTTCTTTAGTGCAAAAAGCAAGATGACCAGCCTTAGGGGAGATCAGAAAGAAGGGAAAGTCTTCTGAGTATGCCCTGTGACCTTCAGGTAAAAGGTGCTTCCAGCATTACTGTGGAGCATGTTGAGAACACAGCCTGATTTCTCTGTGTTTGTGTGGAGTGGACAGTAGAGTGTGTTACTGGACCCTCTCAGGACCCATTTCACTGGGATTTAAAATCTTTGCTTCAACTTGGACTTCTGATGATTGACCCTTGAGTTGGGATCCTGGATGTGTTTCACTGCTCTGGGGTATGCGGAGCCAGTGTCCACTGAAATAGTCATGCCCTGCCTTGTTTTAACGAGAACTTGCATTTCAGTTTTACCCCGACATCTGAGTAGCCTTCCTGCCTCTCCTAGCATGCTTCTCGGGTTTTACTTGATTCCCACCATCTGTGGGTGTCGGCCACACTGTGCTCTTCCAGAGGAAGATGCAGGTACACCTTTTTCTACTTTGGTGTCTGCTGTACCTGTTTTCACACAACAGGGAACTAAGAATCACTTTCACGTCATGACACTGGGCTCCTCTGATTCAGGTCAAATAGTTCACCTCCTGCACTTGGAGTTTCTCTTTTCCTGTTTTCCTTACTTGTCACAACCTCTTAATTAGAATGTATGGCTAGAGGACAGGCAACATTGACAAACTTGCTGCATTTTATAAAAATATGCAAAAGCCCCAGACAAGCAGCCGTGGTGCCTGCTCCTCCAGATGTGATACTGAAACTCCCCAGAGGGGCATCTTCATTGTTTTCTTTCTTTGTTCCAGAAGCAAAGGCCGATAATGAACCGAGCTGTTCGCCGGCAGCTCAAGAACTGTTGACAAGGCTGGGATTTTTACTGGGAGAAGGGATCCCAAGTGCCACACACATAACCATTGAAGAAAAAAATGAAACCATGGTAATGCCCGAGGAAGCCACTGCATGTCTCACCTGCTCAGAGGATGAATGGAGGGATGGCCGTCTTCTCCCCTTCCTCGAGTGGGGAAGTCGTTGCTCGGCCAGATGAGTTTGAGCTGCTGTGTATTGAAATTTATGGCACCCGCTTGTGGGTTTTTGCAGTGGGGAGAGGTGGGGAGATGCAGGAGGGTGCAGAACTTAAGAAAATGTCCACATTAACCTTCCAGTCACCACCCGGAGAAGAGTAGCTGGCTGAATGAAAGTGGCTGAGAGAATTCCGTAGTAATGAGACTACTTTTATCTTTATGGCACCATTCTTCTCATCTGGCTGCCTTTTTTAGCACTTGAGATTTTGGAGGGTCAGTGGGGTGAGGAAAAGATTTATAGGAGATGAGCCCGAGACAAAATGAGATGAGACCCAATGGTTCATCCACCAGAGTGCACTCCCCACCCTGGGATGCAGCAGCCTGCCACTTCCGAGAGGGGAGAGGGGATGTGTCCGCCTGAGTAGCAGTGAGGGACTGAGGGCACTTCCGCCCCGGGCCAGGGTCTCTGCGTGGGTGTCATGCCTCAACTGAGATCGCAGCGACCACCAGTCTCCTTTCCCTGCTCCCAGAGCCATAAATCTTGTGGAATTGAATCAGCTTGCAGGCCTTGTGAAACATTACGAAAACAGAGTTCCCAGATTTTCCGTACAGAGGTCAAAGAACCCATTTGTCTTCGGCAGACTTGAAATGAGAGGAAGTCTGCCTGCTTGCTATTTCTGTTCCACAAATGTGCATTCCCACTACTTTATTTCTAAGGCTGCCCTTGCCATAAAGTAGGAAAATCACAAGGGAGGGGAACAGATCAAGGATGTTTCTCTTTCAGAATTTGGAAGACCCGTATAGATATTAAGCTCCCAAGATTTTAAAAACTGTTTTCCACCTTCCTGTTTTCAGTTTTATTGTTTCAGCGTCAAAAAAGAAGGTGTAGATGCGACCCGTGTGAGCCCTGCTAACTCCTCCTTCGTTCGTCTTACAGTGCACAGCTCTGAGCCAAGGCATCAGTCCTTGCTCCACACTAACAAGCAGCACCGCGTCTCCCAGCACCGATAGCCCCTGCTCAACCTTGAATAGCTGTGTCAGCAAGACTGCAGCCAACAAAAGTCCCTGTGAGACCGTTAGCAGCCCTAGTTCCACCCTGGAAAGCAAGGACAGTGGAATCATAGGTAAGACACACACTGCTCGGTAACTCGAGGGTTAGTGCGCGCCTGCCAGAGCCCTCGTTCCCCAGGCTCTTCTCCAGAGGGTCGGCGCGCGCTCTGGGAAGGCCGGTCTGCTGGGGCCTGCCCTGTTCTTCACAGACCGCTCAGGCTCCAAGCACAGCCAAGAAAATAAAGCATCGGTGTTTACATTCCTTGGTGTTTCTTTTATAATGCTGGACTCAGGTGGTAAAAAGTTTTCCCAGTCAGACCTGGCCTGTGAAGCTATGAAAATCGGCCCTTCTCACTAATGAACTGCATTTGTTGGGAGTCGGGTCTCACTGGGACACAGCAGGGCAGCGACATCCATGCCTATTGCAAAGCCTTCCCAGCCCAATCTCAAGGTCATTTACATCTCCACGTATTTCCAGGTGTGTGTTCTTTAGTTTCTTAATACTGGGATCTGACTGGTTTTGAGTCCAGGATTTTCTAAGAATGCTCCCCCAGCCCCCCACACCTCCATAGTTCGTGTGGTTGGTAGTACAGAAGTGAGGGTCAGGATTCTAGTCCTGACTCAGGCTGCTCAGCTCAGTGACTTGAGCAACATTTGAGTTCTTTGCACATCGCTTTCCTTTCCATAAAGTTAAGCATTCTGATTCGTTAGTAGTCCTAGTCCCAGGTGAACGTCAGAATCATCTGGGGAATTTAAGAGTCCTTGTTGCATCCAGTCCCAGATGGACTGCATCTAAGTTCCTGCTGGACATCTGTGTATCTCTGGTGTCCAGTTTGGCCCCTTTTAGGATGCAGGCGTGTGGGACCCCTAGACAGATTGTGAAGGTCATGCTGCTGTTTAACGTCGGTGCTCTACTGAATGGTTCCACTCCTTCCCTTCTGCTGAGTTATGTACATGTCTTTGATAGATATTTACATTCTATTATGGACTGAACCCCATTTACTTCCATATTAACATGTAACCAAATGGAATGACATTTGAACTCCTTGTTTTCTTGAGTGACCTGCAATCTCTTTCAAGTGCCATCTGATAAGCCAAGGTGCAGGTTCACCCAGTTGTAGTTTGGAGACTGCCACAGAAGATCTGTGAGCTTCCTGGGACTGGATTGTGGGCATCCTGGTGTTGCCCTCACTGTGGCTTTGTGTGGGGCCCTCAGCATGACAAGCCAGCCTCTTCCCTTGGTTTGCACTTGGATTAGGCTCTTTAGTGGGTATTTGTTTTGTTAATTGCTTTACGGAGATACAACTCACATACCATAGTATTCGTCCATTTTAAGCTATTGAGTGGTGTTTTGGTATATTCAGAGTTATACTACCCATTGCCTCAATCTGCTTTCAGAATGTGTTTACCCAAAAAGAAATCCCCTGCCCATTAGCAGTCACACCTCATTTCCCCCTTCACCTCCAGCATTACTCAGTCTGTTTTCTGTCTCTGTAGATTAGCTGATGCTGGGCATTTCATATGAATGGTAGGTTGAGGTTTTTGTAGCAAATTTAAATTCTCTGTCCACCTCAAGTGAGCTTATTTTGCTGATTGCCCATTCTTGTCTCATGCGGCTACTCCACCTGCTGTCTAGTCCAGTCCAGCTCACTTTTCCCAGGGTTCCTTCTGTTTTCATGCCCTGTCTTTCTCTCTCCGAGCTGTTCGCCATTGCTAGATTGCTGGTATTAATTCTGTGATAGTCAGATGATTTCTTTACACCATTCTTAGCTCTGCTGAAATTCCGTCTCCTCTGTAGAGTTTATTTTCGTTCACGAAGTTGGCCAGTGCAACATTTTTGGGGGGACAGCCTTTTCCTTTTCATTGTATGTTCTGGCATTGGCATTACGTGCTTCTTACTACAACCAAGCCAGTGTCTTGTTTTGACAGTTAGAGAAACTTTTTAAATAACAGAAAAAATGGCATTCATTCATTGTCTCTCTTTCTCTCTCTCTCGTTGAGGTACAGTGTTGCGATGTAAAGTATTCTAAAGAAAGGAAGGGACGTGGCCGGTTTGGCTTTCTGTGCTGTCCACGAAAGACTGAGCTGCAGGAATGTTGAGGCTCTTAATTAGTGCTTGATTTTTAGTACAGTTCCACTCAGTCCCAGACTGGTCATTTCCCTCATTATATGCTCTCCATAACACTTCAGTGTGTTCTTTCAATTTAGTTTTTTCTTGTTTCACCGTTTATTTTCATCTCATATGAGGAGGGGACTCATCTGAATTATCCCAGCTGCCTGCTGGGCTCCTAGTGTGGTGTTGGGAATGAGAAATTAAGGACAATTGTTGCTACCACCAAGTTCCATTGAAGGAAGGACCATTTAGTTGGTTTTTAAAGAAAGCTATGCGGGATTCCCAATCCAAGTTGGCATTGTCACATCTTTTAATGCCATCTGTATTTTAAACTGTTTTGTCCTTAAAGTTAAATGACACATTTTGTGTCATCGAAGCTGTCCTTCATTTTTTGGCTCAAGGCAACATGTTCCCTTAACTCAGCAGATGAAAGTGGGAGAAGTGCAAGGTGGCAAGTCCCCGTTTTAGGAAGACCTGCAGACTGGAGGGTGTGCTTCACGTTGCTTTAGCTCATCTCCTGTAGGGAGCAAGGACGGTAGGTGGCCAAGAGGAAAACACTGTGCTGGTGACAACGTTCCTCTGTTCTCTCTCCCTTCGTGACCTGCAGAATTTCAGTCTTTTGCCAAGGGACACATCGGAGGTGTGGCAGGGAGGGGAAGGGAAAAAGGCAAGTATTTCCTCTCCAGACAGACTGTAGCTGCCGTCTGTGAAGAGGCAGGAGTGGCAGGGTGGGGAGGGGGGAGCGAGCTGTGCCCCGAGCCCGCACAGGGTGTGCGGTCCGGTCCCCTTGCCTCTCTGAGACCAGGGATCTGTGACTCAGAGTGCTTCCTCGATCGCCAGGGCCGCATGTGTGCTTTTTCTCCCTGAAGAACGACGTTTGTTTTTACAAGGTGTAGCCTGGGAATGGCAGCCTTACATGCTTGACAGAATAAAATATTCAGGAACACAGCGATCCTAGTGGTCAGAGATGACAGTGAGATACCTTGGCTTTCTGTTTTGGAATGCCTGGCAGCTGCTTATAAAATAGGCTGGTTCAGTTCCATGTTCCAACTTACTGGGGGCCTGGAGAAAGGAGGGAGAGGCTTTCTGGTGAATTTTCCAGTTTAAGTTGTTTAAGATTTGTCAACCCACAGAGCCCAGGGTGGAGTGGCAAAGGTTTTGGGGTGGGCTGGTGCGAAGTGCCCACAGCTGCCACGCCCTCACAAGCTTTGGGGAACTGGAGGCTCCCATGCAATAAGGGCTCTGATCGGAGTTCCACGTACAGTATTAAGACAATTCTTGTAGGACATTTAGGATAAATTTCAAACAGTGCTAACTCATCCTTAAGTCCTCCTGGGCCTCCCCTTCTACTTAGTTGATTTCCATGATGCTGATTATATTTGGTCTAAGTGTTTTTACCCTGCAGTGCTGGAAGGAAGCTTGTTCCCACATGCCCAGACGGCCTTCTCAGGCTGGACACAGGGTTCCCTGTCCATGCCCTGTTGCCACTGGCTTTGATATACTGCAGGGGAAGAGAAATTTCTTTTTAGGAACTGCTTAGTGGGAGAAAAGGCAGGCTAATAACCATTGGAAGACTTTATCAGACCCCTTCTGGTCTGTCTCTGTGGAACCCGCCTGCCCCTGTTCACACTTGACTGTGTTACGCAGGGGGCACCCCGCTCCATCCTGTTTCAAGGGGTCCAGGTCCTGCCCACAGGAATGTCTGCAGAAGTATGACGTCTCTGTCATGTAGGAATACTGTCCGAGCTGGATGGGATTAGCTGAATTCCCTATGACTATCTTCTTTAAAAAAAAAAAAAAAAGTAAAGTTCCTTGCTCTTTACGTATTGAAATCATTGGCCTGACCTAGAAGTTAGTGTCTGATTTTTCTAACCTGCCACATGAAAACCCTTTAAATGTGAAACCCAGCTGTACCCAGTCATTATAAACTAATTTTTCAATTACTTGGTTTGAAAAGGAAAAAAAATATATAAAGAAGTATCTTTTAAAGGTATTCCCTCCATGTCTAGGAAAACATTTTTTCTTAGGGATACTCTTTTTATATAACCTGCTCCCAGCTGTTACAAATGGAAATTGTAAACTGTATTAATCCCAGTTTCGAACAAATGTGTTTTCATTAGAACCTGTGAGAAAACCAATCTGATTTTTTTTAAATGGCATCACTGAAAATAGTGGGTTTTGAAGAATTTGTCGATTTAAACATATTATTTATGTCCATATTGTGATCAATATTTTATATGTGGGTATTTAAGGAAATGGGCTTTTCTGTGTTAAGGAAGAAGGAAAATGTATATTTGATGAGGAGAAACAAACAATATCCAGCTTTCCTCTCAAGATTTTAAAAAATAATAAATCTTCCCTACCCATTAATGCATGTGGCCAGGACAAGGACTTGCAGATAGCAATTAGGAAAATCCCAGCTTTGAAGAGAGGTCATTAAAAGTCAGCCATCCCTTCCATTTCCTTCCTCTACCATCATCTTGTACCTGCTGACACTTACAATCCCCAGATGGCTTTTGTGGTGTGCAGGATGTGTATCCTTTTGAGAGGGGGTGTCAGCACGGGTCCAGGGAGGGTGGGGAAGGGGAAGGGGTTGCCAGTGACAGTGGCCCCATCTCCCCCACTAGGTGTGCCTCCCGCACCCAGACGCGTGCTGTCCACCTGCCAGACTCCCCAACACCTGAGCCACCGCATTCCACCCGGCCAGGTAGCTTTCAGGATGATTACGTGTTCAGAATTTGGAAAGGGTAAAGCAAGGACTTGGGCTCTTCCTGCTGCCTGTTCCCTTTCTTTAGGCGGGGGGGCCTGAGTTTATTTGCTTTTATCCTTCTCACTTGGAAGCTGGGAAGCAGGTATAAGTTTAGGTGGGGGGAATACCTTCGCAGAAATGTTTCTCCAGCAAAAGGAACTTAAAATGAAATAGTGGCCACTGGCATTATTATCTTCTGGTACTTACTAGTG